GCTTCCGCCCTCACAGAAGTGCAGCCAGCCTCTATGTACAGTTGTTACTTCCTCTTCCACTTGATTCTTTAGGCCCTCTTTTCCCGAGAGCACATATAAATCTATCTTATCCTTTTCAGTGGCCACATTGCTTTCCATTGTATAGAAATGCATAATTCATTCATCCAACTCCCTAAGGACGAACAGTGGGGTTGTCTATCTCCATTTGCTTTTTCCAGCAATGCTAGGAGAGCATCCTTGGCCTGCCCACTGTGAAGTCTCTGTTTCTAGAGGTGGGAAAGTTGGGTCTGGTGTGAGTGCTTGAAATGATTGTGCAGGCTCCTCAGGCAGGGCTAAGAGAGGTGGACTTCACCTTGCAGTCACTAGAAAGGCTTAAAAACACTTGTTTTTCCTAAATGGCTAACTCTGTATTTTTCCTTCATTAAAAATGCAATAAAAGCACATTACGGACAACTGGGGGTAAAAATAAAGGGAAAAAACCCTCCCATAACTTATTACACAGTCACTTAAGTTTTTCCCTTCACTCTTATTTGCTCGGGCATGTTTTCATTGCTAGACTGTAACCACAGTGCCCATCAATTTTAGATCCTGCTTTCTTCATTCACGGTTCTTGTGCAAGTTTTTTCCATGTGACTGCAGACTCTTCATAAAAAGTTTATTTAGCCAGTCCCTTTGGCTGGACGCTGGGGCCTTTTTCAGTTGTATCCGAGAGGGCTGCACAATGCCTTCTCCACTGGTGTCCTCCAGCCCACGTTCAACCAAGCTCAAGTCTCCCTGCATGAAAGAAACACACGCACCTCCGTCATCCCAAGCCCTCAGCCCCTCCAGTTACCATCCTCTCCCTTTCCTTTTACAGCCAAACTTCCGGAAAGAGCCGCTTCCACCACCACCACCCCAGCCTCCACTGCCTCCTCTGCTCACTCAGTCCCCCGCCCGTCCCCAACCGTGTCCTCGGTGGGTGCCTGGGCCCTGGCTCTCCTTCCTCTGCTCTCTCCCTCTTCCACAACGTCCCTGCCCTCCTGGTGAATCCCAGAACTCTCTCCCAAGCCTGCCTGCCTGCCTGCCTTCTGAGCTCCAGCTTCTTACCCCCAACCGGACTATCAGCCACCATCTCCTTTCCTGGTCCCCCAGCCCTGTCCCTCTCATCAGTGACCAAGTCCTGCCCATCAACCTCCTTGACAGCCAGTCATCACCTACTCCTCCCCAGCCCACTGCCAACACTCACCTGTCTTCCTGCCTCCACCTGGTCCCTGCCCCACGTCCAGGCTCAACAGTTCAGCTGGAGTATCTTCCAAGTAAAAATGTGACAGCATCACTCCCTGAAGGAAAGAGCTTTCAGGGCTCCCCATGGCCTTCAAGATGAAGTCCAAACCCCTCATCCTGGAATGTGGGCCCTGGGTGACCTGGCTCAGGCTTATCTCCAGCCTCAACTCTTATCACTTCCTATCCACACCCTATACCCCGCCCCTGTGGCAGGCCTGCAGTTCCCCGTATTTTCCAAGCACTCTCACCTCGTCACTTTTACACAGTGCTGTTTCTTTTTCATGGACCTCCCTTTCCCCTCCACTGCCTTCTGTTTTTGCATCGGCAGGCAGACTCTCAACCACTGCGCCACCAGGGAAGCCCCACTGCCTTCTTTGTGTGGGTAACTTTTAGCTCTTCAGGTCCTAGCTTAAGGGTCACCTCCTCCAGGAAGCCTCCCTGACTTCTCCCCAATGGTATCTTGCCATTTGCAAGATAATGGTATCTTGTTATTTACACTAATCACAGGCTTGCTGTGCTGTGTTCCATTCATCTGTTTGCAGTCTGTCATGTGACCCCATTCCCCTCCCTTCCTGGCCACCCACATCTTCCTGACCCGGCTCCCTTAAAGACAAGGTCTGTGTCTCGCTCACCTCTGAATCCTTGACCTAGCACAGTGCTTGATTCTGAGCTTGTGACCAATAAGTATAGGCTGAACGCATGAATGAGCAGAAGCTAGTGAACATCTTGATGCATAAACTTTTCCCATGCTGAAGATGATCTCCTTTCAACAGATTCCCAGAAGTTGCAGTGATTGGATTAAAGGGGATGACTATTGAAAGCTTCAATTCCCACAGCTAAGAAGCTTTCCAAAAAAGCTGCAGCAATTTACATCCCACCAGCAGGTGTAAGAGTGCCTGTCTTGCTGTATTCTCCCAGTGTGGCTATTTTCATTTCTTTCTTTTTAAAAAGTGCTCATTTTATAGGCAAAACATCCCACCTAGTTCTAATCTATAGGTCTTTGATTACTAGTGAGGGTGAACATTTTTCCATATGTTTGCCTACTAAATGCATTTCCCCTTCAAAGATTTCCCTGTTCATGTGACATGGACAGTTAAGGCAGGTGGCATTTTATGAGCTGACTCTGGGGGCTGTGTCAGGAGTGACTGGGAGCAGGGAGGTCGCTGCTGCAATGGTCCTGGTGGGGGATGAGCAGGCAGGATCACTGTGGGGGCCGGAGAAATAGGAGGGGCAGAGGGGGGTGGAGATCAAGGAGGCCAAGCCAACCACCCACCCCTGGGGACTGACAGTGGGCGAGGCAGAGGGAGGGGTCAGTGCACCCAGGTTTCACCAGCTGAACAGAAGGGGTGTCTGCCCTGAGATGCACAGGCAGATATGTACACACACAACCGCAAGGTGCCTCTCTGAGCTATTTACTGGATACACCTGCTGAGGAACGGTGAGGTGGGGCAGCAGAAAAGGCAGGGGCGGGAGGGTCTGATCAGGCAGGCCTCTTGAAAGAGACCAGAGGAGGCAGATTTTGGAAGGACTCATAGGGCAGGGAGGGGAGCTGGGAAGCTGTGCAGAGAATCCTGAGGGCTTGTTTAGGAATACTACTACTAATGATAATCAACAATAGCTAAAGCTTACTGACCTTTTACTGTGTGCAAGGCCTTGTTCTAATCACTTAGTAGGTATTAACTCAATATCCATCGCAGCCCTCTAAGGTATGTATTCTTAGTATCTGCATTTCTAGACAAGAAGACTAAAGTGTAGAGGCCCAGAACCTTGCCCAAGGTCAGAGAGCTAAGAAGTGGTGGCCTGGGATTCGAACCTGACCTGCCCATCTCCCCATTATGGATGTCAGGGTGTCCAAACTGGTATTCACTTTCCAGTAGTGATGCAAATGGGACTCCTGGCTTAGAGTGGCAATCAGATCCTACAATCCTAAGGTACAGAGAGGTAGAGTTCAAGGCAGCTTAAGGAAGAGTTTCTAATAATGGAACAGGCTGCTTTGGGAAGGCACTGAGAGCTCTGCACCCAGGAAAAGATATCCAAAAGCCTGGGGAAGGAATTCTGTCTTCAGAGACCCCAGACCAGCGGTCACCAACCTTTTTGGCACCAGGGACCAGCTTCATGGAAGACAATTCTTCCACGGACCAAGGGGTGGGGGAGGGGGGGAGGGGATGGTTCAGGTGGTAATGCAAGCGATGGGGGCAGATGAAGCTCCGCTCACTCACCTGACGCTCACCTCCTGCTGTGCGGCCTGATCCGCGGCCTGGGGGGTTGGGGACCTGTGCCCCAGACAACTGCTCAGGGCTCCTCCAACTCCGTCCCTTACACTCTAGAAGGGAGAGAAAGCCAGGAGGGCCCCTGAGAGGCTGGGGGCAAACAGGACTGCTGGCCTCTCCAGGGCCTTGGTGCTCCCGCTTCTGCTCTGAATGCTGAGTAGGGTGTTCCTGCACCAGCCCTAGGGGTCAGAGTCTCTGAGTCCAGAAATTCCAGGGTCCTGAGGTCCCGAGTTCCAAGGATCTATGAGTCCAACACCCTGGGATGCTGACACTTCCAAGGTCTCTGATTCCAGTTTCTCACAGTTCCACCCAGAATAGAGCAAGTGCAGGTAAAGGTACAGGCTCCAGTGCCAAGCTGGGTTCAAATCCTGGCTTTCACTTACCAACTATGTGCATGCTTGCTTGCACAAGTTACTGAAGCTCTTTGAGATTCAGTTTCCTCACCTGAGAGATGGAGATAATAATGGTGAGGATTAAATGAGATAATGCACATTACTTTGAACACTATCTGCCACATGACAAATGTTCCAAAATATCAGGCATTAGTACGATTATTTTAGAACTCTGGGATCCCAAAGCCTGTTCATACAAAGTTTCCAGTATTCTGAACGTCCCAGTTACCTATGTAAGGAATCAGTGACTGAAAACAGTTCATTATTACCACAGGTCATGATTTTGTGGCTCAGGAATTCTGACAGGGCTCAGCAGCAGTGGGGGCCCCTCCCTGCTCCCAAAAGTCCTGTGGATGACTGGCGGGCACCTCTCTCCGTGGCTAGGCTGGTCTCCCTCACTTCGTGGCAGCATCTGAGTTCTGACACTTTTTTTTTTTAATTTACTTATTTTTATTTATTTTTGGCTGCGTTGGGTGTTCATTGCTGCCCACAGGCTTTCTCTAGTTGCCGCGATTCGTTGCAGTGCGCGGGCTTCTCATCGCGGTGGCTTCTCTTGTTGTAGAGCACGAGCTCTAGGCGCATGGGGCTCAGTAGTTGCGGTGCTCGGGCTCAGTAGTTGTGACTCGTGGGCTCTAGAGCCCAGGCTCAGTAGTTGTGGCGCACGGCCTTAGTTGCTCTGGGGCATGTGGTATCTTCCTGGTACAAGGCTCGAACCTGTGTGCCCTGCATTGGCAGGTGGACTCCTAACCACCGCGCCACCAGGGAAGCCCTGAGCTCTGGGACTTCTTAAGCGAAGGGTCAGAGCTCTAAAGAGACAAAGGCTAACGAGCCGGTCCTCCCAAGGGCCAGCACAGCATCCCTTCCTCGGGACTCTATTGATCGAAGAGGTCAGGGAGAGCTGCGTTCAAGCGGGGAACAAAGGGCCTCTCGGGGCAGGGGTGGCAAACAATGGGTAATTATTTTTAATCCACCTAGGACGATTCCGGAGCTGGACAGTTCTGGAGTTCCAGGGACTGGGGTTGCACGGGCACAAGTACGGGCGAGGGGAGGCCTCAGAAGCCCGAAGTCTCAGCGGATGTCGGAGGGCGCTGAGGCCCGGCTTACTCAAGATGGCCCCGCCCCGCCCCGCC